ATGGGCTGCCATGTCATGTGAAGTGGTCCAAGTTCTCTGTGTTTACAACTGCATAGGGTTGTTTGTCAACTATAGTTTTCCAAATATACATCTATATGCATGAAGATTGTCACGAACATCTGCCAGGAAACGGCCAGGTGGATGTGGTATTGGCAGTAAGTTAGGCTCTCTCACACAGCTGCATTGTCCCTTCCATGCACTCTTTTAACTCATGGAAAAGTTTGCATGTAGTACTCCAAAGGAATCTACTACACAGAGGGATAATTAATACTGGCGCAATCCTCATGGTCTTTCCCGGAACAACACTGGGAAAATGCACTTGATATATGACAATCATCTGCAACCTGAAATAAGCCAGATAAATGAATGGCAATTCTCAGCATCCTTACCAGAACAGACCATTGGTTGGAGCTGCCCAACATGGTGAGGGTATTCAAGGATAGGCTGGACATACACATGGTAGGCATGTCATAAGTGGAAATGGCTGGAGCCAGGGTCAGTCTAGATGGCCCAGCGACCCCTTCTGATTCACTCAGTTTCTATGTTACACATCTGGGAGGCACCAGCCTAGGGAAAATTTACATATGACATCTGCCCCACATGGTACCTGGAACATTTTTTGGGCAATTTTCACCCACTGTAAAAGTTGGAAAGGCTCTAAAAAGGCTGCTCATTGGTGCACAATCACTGTGTTGGCTGTAGGGCAACATTAACATAAATAAGTAAGTAAGAATATAATAAATAAATAAGCTAAACCATGCTAGTACTTTTTGCCACACCTATCACTGAAATGTGTATTTACGAGTGCACCTGAAATACAGTTCAGCCCTGCCTCCCCACCGTTTCTTGGAAAAAGTTCCTCATCGCTAACTCCCAGAAGAATTTGTGAAGAATCAGAGTATGTGGGAGCTATAATTATTTCCTACTGAGAAGACAACATCTTTACCTTAAGCAAGTACATGTTTTTTTTTTCTGAAATAACATGAAAGATTACTAATTATAAACTTCTCAATACATGAATGATTAATTTATCTAGCAGGAAGCGTGAAGTTTTAAGTAAGAGTACAATTGCAGTTAAACAGACATAAGGCTAACTCTATAATTTGCACAAAATACACAGATCAAGAAGGCTAAGGGCTAAACTAGAGAAGATGTCAAATGCATCATTGTGCCAAAAGAAAGAAAGAAAAGAAAAGAGAACGGAGGGAGGACATGCTATGTTTACCTACATGGTGATGCTCAGGATTGCAGAACAAGTGGAGTGTCATGTAATTTCTGCCTCTCCTGCTGCAGTCCTGAGGAAAACTCCTCCTCTGAAGCTGGTGTTTGTTTTGATAAGAAATTATCCATTATGAATAACTGGTATTTCCTCCCAAAGCAATTTGCTTCTTCCGCAGCAGGAACTCTCCTTCTATCCTGATAATTAACACATACATGGAGCTTGATGCTACCTCCTTTTTTATTTTGCATTTTTGTCTAGTTTGGCCTCAGTCTCTGTCTTTCAAAAGTACTAATCTGTTTTCCTTGTTTATTTGTCTTTTTCCACTCCTATTTTGGACAGTTATATATGCTAGGAGTGTTTCTGTTTTATCAACAGGGACATACTATAGTACCAGCTAATTCCTCACCAGCCCAGTTCTTATACAAGAAGCTGAGAAATTACATGGTATATGGAGAAAGGCTGGAAACAGTCACTTCATTTTAAGCTGAGACTGTATTGTGAACTTTGACCATTGAGCAATACAGAAATGTAACAAATGAATAAATTCTAGTACTCCTTGTTCTTGGAAAAATCTTTCAGTTAGCTGAAAGATTTCAGAAGATAGTTCAGTGTTCAGCCTTCTATCCAGTAGGATACATGGCCACCTCATCTCAAGAGAAAGATTAGGGAACTCCTGCCCAGCCCCGTTTACACCCTCCTGCTGCATTCCTACACTAAATCATCCCACAATTCAGCCACCTGAAAGAGCATACAGAGTTTCCTCAAACTGGCAAAAGGACCAGTGGAGAGACACAGCACTCTGGAAAGAATTGCAATAAACCCCAAGAGGTAGATTATGATACCCTCCACTTATTGGTTTTTGTAAGAGTGTTAACACAGCTTTACATTCAACATCATTAAAGTGCAATAAATGCCCCAGTTAAGTATTTAAAATGAACACTGTTTACTTAATATGCTGTGACAGCTTGAGACAGCCACAAAAGCTTTTCATGTAATGAAGAAATTAATTACACCATCTACAAAAGATGCCTCAACAGTGGGCATGCTTAGAGATTACGGAAAGCCGGGCAGCTGACAATTTAAGCTGTAAATAAGTTGGAACAGTTGATCGCCAAGGCATAAAAAGTGCAACCCAGGGGAAAGGACTCATTCATTGGATTTCAGCCAGATTTAAATTTGTTCAAATCCATGTGCATTGTACACAAGACCCCCCAAAACAAGGCCCAGCAACCTCCCCAGTTCCCAAGACCTTCAAGGAAATGCTGGCCTTTCTTTCTTGGTCTTGGTACTCTGCCCATCTATGGAACTGTCTTCTGTACTGGCCCATCAAAGCCCCATAGCATAAACATTCTGAAGCCAATTTTAAAAAATTCCTGCAGACATTTCTATGAATTAGGGGAAAGATGCACTTATATTTAAACATACTTTACTTTTGCATATACTTTTAAACATTACTTTTACATATCATTTGTGAATGACGGGGAAAAGAAACTAGATAAAAATACTGAAAGCAACAACAGACAAGCCAATTTTACTTGTCCTTGGTCCCTTGCCCCCGTACAGGCTTAGAACTGCCTCCCAGAACATCTGTGCAATGCCACCTTTTACTCACCCAAATTCCACCCAAACCTACCTTTTCTGTGAAGATTTTGACATGACACCCAAGCTCCCATGCCACCCAGCCTGTAACTAAGCCTGTACAACTAAAACACTTATTACTTCCTTGTTTACCACTAACCTAGCTTCTCTCCCCTTCTCTTTTTTTCTAATGCCTCACTTCCTCAGCCACCCTGTTTACCATCACCTCCAATTTCTTCCATTCCTGCCTCCCACCAAACCCAATTTCATCTTGTCAGCACCTGTGCTCAGGCCGTGTCCTCTTGTAGTCTGTACAGCACCAAGCACATTGATTCGTGCACAGAAGGAAGGGAGGGAAGAAAGTACCTGGGCAGTGTTGGGCAAGAATGCTGGTGGCAAGTAGCAGTCCCTTAACCAAAAAATCCAATGCCATGACTGCCCTGATAAAGTTTAAACTGGAGTCTATTGCCTTTTGGACAAAGTACAAAAGTTACTCAAACAAAAAAGCTTTTGCCTGTCAAATCTTTCATGAATCCTTGTTGTTCTCCACTGCTGATTATTGCTGTTACAGGTTAAGTACTGGTGTTTCTTTAGACTGCTTTGTTGCTTTCATTAGTATCGTCAGCCATATGGAAAGGACAGGATAAAAATACTTATGTGAAAATGGTGTCAGGAGGCTCCTTCTACCAATGTGGTTACATCTTATGGGGCCACTTATGCAAGTGGCTAATCACACTTTAGTGCATTTGCAGAACAAGTGAGAATAGAATAATTAAGGATTTGTCATAGGATGGTTGCATTTCTTTTCAGAAGAAAATGTAAATCCTAAGTTTAGCATCAAAATTTTGGATGCTCATTTTGGTATTAGAAATGCTTAAAAGAGATTAACTGAGAGCCAGTACATTCTTGTGGTTCAAGTGTTGGACTAGGCCTCAGGAGCACCAGGTTCTAGTCCCTATTCAGCAGTTAAGCTCACCAGGTGACTTTGGGCAAGTCACTGACTGTAAGCTTAATCTACTTTCCAGGGAGCTTGTGTCGATAAAATTGAGAAAAGGAGAAAATTGTATGCTACTTGGATACAAAAACATATAACTGTAAAAATAGTGATGCAAATGAGCCTTTTGTTTGATGTCTGGTTTACAGTGGTGGTCTGAAAATGATGGAGTCCTATGAAAGAGCAGCTGGTGCAACAGCACAACTTAGACAATGATCTTGATTCAAAGGCTTCCTTTAAAGATAACTGCCCAAACAATGCCATTCTTTTTTCTGCACACTTCTGCTTTGTGCACACTTCTGCACTGTACACTTCTGTTTCAGTGAAGCAGTTACCTTCTCTAAATATGTCCAAATATCCCTAACCATCTCTGCAGAACTAAAGGCAAATACCCAGATGGTGTAGCTCAAAGAGGCTAACTGCAGCACATTAAAAGTAAATGGGGTGTGCTAGCTTACAAAGCACTGTTCAATCACTGGAAACAAACTGGAAGGCAGAACATTTAGGTGCACATTTTCTTTTAAAGTTTTCAACATCCTATTTACGGTTTCTAAAACATTTCTAGAAGGAAAAATGATTTTTTTTAGAAATTATACAAATTAAGTGTTGTTATGAACATGCTAACCTACACTGCATTTAATCTAATACATACAGTTAGCCTACATGGTCTTGTGGATATAGAATTAGAGAATAGTAGAGTTGGATCCAACACCTTGATGTTGCAGGTCACCAATTTACACCATCCCACTCAGATGACTGTCCAATATCCTTGCCAGCATTCTATGCTGATAGACCATCAGTGCAGAGATCCTTTATGAGTGGCATTTAATTGATGGAAGATATGCAAATTCAGGCTGTAAGTCTTTTAAAACATTATTTCAATTGCATGACTTGGAACAGCCCCATTTGTGATACAGCAAAGCCTGCAAGCAAACCCATCCAGCTGTCAGGGTTGAGCACACTATGGTTGTTTTTAGGGGTCTGCCCACTCCATTGCTATGGTGTGTGTGTGTGTGGGGGGGGGGGGTTCTCAAGTGTGGTGTTGGAAGGCAAAAGACATGCTACTCTGTCTCTAGGACTGCTATCAACTTCAAACTGCATTGACTCCAAAGCGAGGTACGAGATAACAAACCATGGTGAACAGCTGACAGCTCACAACTCAGCAATAAACCACAGTGAGATACAGCATGATCATCAGCTGCTTACCTGGCCAGGCTGCTCACAAGCGGTTTGGTACCTTGTTTGCTGACACAGTTCTTTCACTCTCTCATATTTTGGCAAGTGATTTGATTGCTGGGCATTTTTGCTTGGCTCTTCCTTCTTACGCAGAAATTTACTTTCAAAAGGAAAGAGAAAGCAGCACTTTTGAGTGTTTATAAATACTGCACAAGAATAAAAGCAGAAGCAGGAAAAGCAAGGCACAGAGAAGGAAAAATATGCTAAAACTACAGGTGTTGTCACTTCTTTACCACAGAGAAAAGGTATGAACTGGATGCTCTGACACAAGATCTGGAAAAGCTTTCCTCTAAGTCTTTATGAGTTTACATCTTCCCCTCAAAAGTGCGACCCTTGAAATGAACTTCTTAAGGAGAAGGAAGGCCAACTGGATGCCAAACACTAGTACTTTTAGATGCGTTTAATGAACAAAGAATGAACATGAGTGGAGTGAGGCAGTATTGTAGACTCCACTTCTGATTTATGCATGTTCATTAGGGCAGCTAGACATGTGCTCCACAGGTATGCACACAATTTTCATGGACAGGGTTCCAACATTCAGCACACACAATCATACATTTGTGAGGGGAGGACAGATGAATACAGCAGAAGTACTGAACCACAGGCCTGGGTGGTTCATCCATCCATCCTGGACTCCAGACTAGTTCTCCAGGGTGCCTTAGATGATATAATCCCTTCCTTTTACTTAGTCCTTTTTCCCATTTGCTGGTTTCCTTGCTTTTGGAGTTCCTGCCTGCCCCCAATCCCAAAAGCTTGAAATGCTTCTAGCAAACCCATGAGAGCATGAAACTACAATATATATGCATTTCTGGAATGCTGGCATTAAAAAAAAAAAAAAAAAAAAAACTTGGCTCACCACAAGATTACAGTCCCTGAGATCTTCTCCTAGAGAAAATTTGTTCCTTAAGACAAAACAGGAATTCTAATCATTGCATTTAGCACATAGATGGGAGCTATTTCCTGCCAGCACATAATAGTGGCCTGCTTCATATGAACACAGCTCGGTTAATAAGCCATTTGTGCTGATCACATGCAGGCTGGTTTGCTTAATTATGCTTACCAGACACAGCTTCTTGGATGGTCCAAACCTGACAAGGGCAACTGCTGAAGTTGTTAACAAATTACCTAGCACCCATGTCCTGTTGTACGGTTGTGTGATGGTGAATTCTGAACTTAACTACTGGGTTTGGATGACACAAAAAGCTACAGCAGTGGGGGGATTGAATTGGGAAGATGGCACCTATAAGTCAAGCAACCCACAATTGCTAGTAAGTCATGGTAACACTGGGGTGCTCTTGAGAACCAGGTCAAAAGCTAGATGAAGAACATGAGTATACACATAGGTGCCCCACCTATATCCCAGACAGGTGAGGGGAAGCTTCTCTTGCATATCTATCTTTATTATTGTTGTTTCACATATTTCAGGGTCGTAGGGTGCTTTGAGCCAAATCAGGTATGAGCTGTTAGAGGCTACTGTACGATTAGGATCCAGGGTTCTCCTTGCATCAAATAGCTAAGAGCAAGTTAAATGACAAGTGAAGAATGCTGAAGGCCATGGGATCTAGAAAAATGCTGTAAAAAGCTACTTCACCCACTGCATTAACAGCAGCCAACAAACTTGCCAAGCTAGAAGACAGAAGCTTTCTCTGTGAGTTTGCACACAAAATTTATTGCTTTGCTGTACATTAAAAAAATAATTCAGTTGCCCACCAGGCAGTTTTCCCAGAACTCTCTCAGCTCCAATAATTACCCTCTTTCCACTAGGAATGTATCACGCCAAACTTTGGTTTTCTTGTTTGTTCGAAACCTGAAATCAAAATAATAATATTTACTGTTGGCCTCCAGGACTATGTTTGTCTGCGCAATTATAGGTGAACAATTTATTTTTCCTCCAAACCAACTATTGGCTCATATGCTACCACAGTTTTATGAATGTGCTCTTTAAAATAGCTTTTCAGCTAGGAAGGGAAGGTTTGATTCCATTGCTTTCACTGCATTTCTGATTCACTCAGGTATCTGTTCCCAAACAGCATTTAAAAAAGCGCTTCAACTCACCTGTTTCCTGGTTTATCAAGGTCCAGGAGTTTTAGAATAGATTTGCCATCCATATCTGGAGGCGTGTCGAGTCCTGCAATATCCAGAACTGTAGGTGCAAGGTCAATATTCAGCACAATCTGAGATACTCTGCAAATTAACAGAAAAGGTGAGAGCTGTATTATGAACATTAGAAGCAATTTTTCTTTCTTCACAGTAATTGAACGACATTTAATGCTGGTGGCATTCTTTGATAGAAAAGTGTATACAACAGCAGAAAGTTAACCTTAAATGACTGTGCAGTGGAAAAGGAGACATGCTAACTTCACAATATTTTCTTAATATGAATCTAAGTTAAGCAGGGAGGTAAGCAGCCATGCTACCCTAACTGGCATATCTGTGACCAAATCTATCTTTGTCTGCTCCATTAAAGTCACAGTCAGTAAGTGATGTCCTCACATGACCCCATTGCCTCTAGCAGTAAGCCAGAAAAGAAATCACAGGACTATAATGTGCATATTCTATTACATCCTAAACAAACTTTGAAAAATAGTATTTACAAAGGAAAAGGGGGAGGGGAATCTTTCTTCTTAGCCAATGCTTTGCAATAATCCTGATGAAAGAAAACCAGCCACTAAGAATGACAATCAAATGTGCTTACAAATATTTTACATTAGGTACAACAGCTGTGCTGCAGACATAGGAGAACGTACACTGATCCCGGCTCTATACTTGGACCACGAATAAAGAAAGGAACGCGAATATCAAAGTCATATGGCATTGACTTCCCCTTGACCAGTCCAAACTGTCCAATATGGTAACCGTGGTCAGCAGTATAAATAATATAAGTATTCTCCAGTTCTCCCGTCTCCACTAGCATGTGATATAGCTGCAATATAATAAAGTTAAAAAATCAATAGAGAAAATGTGGAATCACATAGAACAGTGACACAGGAAGCAACATGTAAAGGCATTGCATTTAAATGATCCCATATGGTTGTGTTAGTTTTAAAATGACTAAACCCAGCAGTCATTCCAAGGGTTAAGGAATGCAACTCAGGATGCACCACTCATCAACTTTTCATATTGTAGTTTATGAGAGGAGGTAGGTCTGAGTTTATGAAAGGAAGCATGTAGCATTTATATAAGGCAAATATCCTATACAGTGAGTAACCTTATTCCACAGCATGGATATCCGTGAATGCTTACTGCCTTTGCTTTATTAGTTAGATCAGCCTGAATAGCAGAAGATAGGCAAAGCAGCTCTAGTTCACTTACTACTGAAAGGACTTTATTTTCTGTGACTGCAGAGCCATGTGGATCTAAGGAAATGACTTATGTGGAGTTGTCTTATTCAGAGGCAGACTATTAATCTACCTACCCAGTATCATTCTACTCTGAACTGCAGTAGCTCTCTAAAACACTACATGGAAAAATTTCCCAGCACTTCTATTAGAACAGGGGTAGCAACTGGGTTTATTCCAGATGGTTTGGATTGCATCTGCTATAATTCTTGGCCAGTGACCATGCTGAATATGGATGTAGGAGCTGTAGGTCAACACTGCCAAAAGGCAACATGTAAACTCCCCTTTCATCAGGGCTTCTTTAACTAGAGATACCAGGGATTAAATCCAGGACATTCCACAAGTACAATATGTGGTCCAACACAACTGAGCAGCAAAGCAAATGCATCCCAGGATCCATATGTAAAGAAAAAAAAAAAAAAACAAATAGGTAAGATTCACACCAATGGACAAAGCTCCTTTGGAAACAACGCAGTGAGCTGAGCTGTATTGTAGGTATTGTTATTATAATAATAATGTTATTATAATAATTTTATAATAATAATAATATTGGTGTATATCTTTCAAGTTTAAATTTGTCTTTTCATATTGCATGTGGACTTACTTTGTGGTATATTTAACAATAAGAAATACATCTTACAAAATCATGGCAGGATTACATATTCATTACTCAGGCACTTATTCAAGGGAACTTTTAAAAAGCAAACAATAAAAATAAAAATGCCTGCTTTGGAGCTCTTACCACCACCAGAGGTTGGAATTTTGGGATGAAAAAGTAGGGAAGACATCTTAAAAAAGAAAAAAAAAACTTCTTGGGGCACCATAGTTCTAGTCCAAATTGGGGAAGGTTATGCAGACTCTGGAGTAAATAACCCAAGAATGCTCAGTTTGATCCTTAGCATAATGCATACCACATATATATAAAACTGCAGGAATTTGGGAGAACAGAATGGCTGGATGATCCCCTTATTCTACTGGACCTCATAAGACAGGGGTATCCAAACTTTTTGCAAGGAGGGCCAGATTTGGTGAGGTGAAAATGTGTGGGGCCCGACCATTCAGCCTGACATTCTTTGAACCATTAACATTAAATGCAAATGAACTATTTTATGAAAGACTAAAATAACTTAACTGCACTAATGTGAAGGGTGATACTGAGATCTCGACTGCATTATATAGGCCAGTTCTGGCTCAAAAATAGTGGTTTTGATGCACAAGATGTCACGCAGGTGAAAGTCACTTAGTCTCGTCCTCACGCAGTTCTTGTTAATGTTCATAACCAAGAATGTCGTCTCGCACAAGTATGTCGAACCAAACAAGCTCAGCATTTTCTTAGCAAATGTTCGAATCTCTTGGAACCTGTCTTTATCCAGCTGGTGGTAAAAGCTGACAAGAGGGAGCTGTTGGTGCTGACTGCGACACTCGGCGTCACACTGCAGCTCAATGAGCTCCAGCTGCAGGTGGTCTGGAGCGTCATCAGGGTCCACAGAGAAAGGAGATGAAAAAAGCGTGATCTCCTTTTCAATAGCTGCAAAATCCCGAAAGCGCTGTTGAAACTCCTCAGCCAGAGATGAGATGTCTGCTTCATATCTCCTTATTTGTACACTCATATTGTTCTGTGGAAAACTGGTCATTATTTCCAGCAGCGATGGGAAATGTGTGGTATTGGGCTGCGTTTGTGACAGGTGCCTTTGGAAAGTAACAGCTTAGTCCCAAAGGCTTTGATATGTGAATACAGTTGGCTTACCACTGCATTTTGCCCCTGAAGGCTCATGTTCATGACGTTCAGATGTTGTGTTATGTCAACTAAAAATCCAAGCCAGCCAAACAGGATCAGATAACTCTGGCATCAGTTGTCCCTTTTTTGCCAAGAATTGTCCAATTTCCTCCCTAAGAGAGTAGAAACGCTGCAGTGCAGACCCCCAATTGAGCCATCTTACCTTGTTGTGATACACAACATCGCCGTATTCAGCCTGGATGTCGAGTAGAAACTGTTGAAACTGGTGGTGGCACAGGGCTTTGGAGCGAATATAATAGCCTTCATCACTGGTTTCATAACATGATCATATTTCAGATGTTTGGCACAGAGAACTTGTTGGTGAATAATACAGTGGAGTTTTATAGCTTTGCCTCCTTCTTTGCTGACTTTGTTACAGACTAGGGTTGATAATCCACTTCGCTCGCCAGCCATGGCAGGTGCGCCATCCGTAATAATCCCAGTGACTTTATTCCACGGTAGTTTCATGTCATCTACGGCGGAACAAACAGAAACAAATAAATCTGTTCCTCTTGTTTGGTCCTTAAGGCTCTGGAGGTCAAGTAGCTCTTCACTCACGTTCATGTCATCGTCCACTCCTCTCAAAAAAATCAATAACTGAGCGGTGTCAGATGCATCCATGCTTTCGTCGCAGGCTAATGAAAAAAAGTCAAACTCCACTCCTTTTGCCTCTAACTGTCTCTTAATATCAGATGAAACATCTTCAATTCTCAGTGTTACGAGCCATGCAAACATTGGCAAACTCTTGCTTCTTCTCAGGATAAATTTTCTCCACCATTTGCATCACGCAGTCTTTAATAAATTCACCCTCAGTAAAAGGTTTGCAGTGCTTGGCAATCAGCGTTGCCACCTCGTAGCTCGCCTTTGTGGCATTTTCATTTGACTCACGGGCTCTTGTGAAAAAGCGCTGTTGTGCCGTTAAAGCAGCTTCCCGTTCCTTCAATTTTTCGCCGCGTTCATTCCCAGTTAGCTTGTTGTAGTTAGCATGTTTTGTCTGGTAGTGCCTCTTGATACTGAATTCCTTGAAAACAGCCACAGTCTCTTGGCAAATTAGGCAGACACAGTTGTTTCATATTTCAGTGAAAAAATACTCCAATTTCCACTTGTCCTGGAAGCGGCGGCCCTTGCTGTCAACTTCCCTTTTTTTTTAGTCACAGTCACCATTTTAGAAATGGGTACACAAGCCTTGTGTCACAAGGATCACGCGGCAAGAGTGCTGACTCAGGTCTACTGCCATCTTCTGGTGAAATATAACCACCAGCCTTGAAGGAGCAGGAGGCAGCAGGGGACAGCTGTGGGAACCGCTGTGCAGTGAAGGGAAAAATGCCGGCTGGCGGGGATGAGTGACAGGCTGAGCCGGCGGGAAGAAGAGGCTGCGGGCTGCTTGAAATTTGAAAACAGGCCGCAATTGGCCCCCGGGCCAGACTTTGGACATGCCTGTCATAAGACATTTAAATATGTTCCCGCTAGGAAAGTCATTTAATTTGCTTGCTCTCTCCCTGTTGGTAATGAGATATGGACTGGTGAAAGAAACGAACCTTTCTGAGGTCAATCATCAGTGTGAATATAGTACAAATCTGGAACAGGGAGCTTTTTAGCTATTAATGCAGGCTATGTATTCACAAAAAAGAGTGGAAGGCAGTAACTGCTAAAGAACTATTTTCAACATTTTTCATTTACTTACCCTTTCCATGGAATGATCTACTGACATCAGAGTTTGAAGTCTTTTGCGTTGCAAGACATTTGTAAATTCCATGTGGATAGGAAGCATGGGTCCTGTATATTGCATGATCCAATGCTTATCCATGTTCGGTGCATAGTTATAACTGGGAGTTCTGGAAGAAGAAGAGAAGAATATAGAGAGAAATTCAGAAGGTTATTATTCAAGTTAACATCTGCACTTTTTGCCCATATGATACATGTATTATATTATTTTATTAGCATATGAAAAGATTTGAGAAAATGTGGTAAAATTATAAAATGCAATTTCATAAACCAGGAGTTGGGACTAAATGACAAAGCAACCAGCCAATTTATCCAAATCAGATCTGGAATCTCACCTCAAAGCCTGATTCACACATAATGCTAATCCATGCTATAAACTGTGGAATTCTGGCTTGCCATGATGTATGAGTGCAGAGCACTAGCAAAGCATGGTTTATTAATGTAAAGTAACTGGAAGGGGGGCCTATCTGAAAGACCCACCATGGGTTATTTAACATATGGTGAGCTGTGGTACACATGCAGCCTCCATTTTGAACATGCAACTGCTACTTAGTGGTTGCTTCAATGAACCTGCTGAGCCTGGGTTTTGTGAGAGTTAAATAACCCTATATAACTAGTGATCCAGGTTCACATGACACAACAGCTTCCAAGTGGGGGTTGCTTATTTAACTTGGTGTCCACGGGCACTGTAGCTCACTGTGGATAAATAACCCATGATGAGCTGCAGCATGGCATCCAAACTCAGCCTGAAAGAGAACCCATGGTTTGTTGGATTGTGAACTCTGGGTTAATTAAACTGTGGGTTGCCTTTATATGCAAACCCAGGCTCACTATTCTGCCAGGCTACAAAGGCAGCACCCAAGAGCAGTGAACTGCTCAGTGGCTCTAAATGCCCGTACTCAAGGCATTTAGGATACAGGGAGAGAATGATGAAAGTAAAAAGGAACAAGCAACCCATGGACTGAGAATACAAATCATTGTTTGTTTGCTTGTCTGTCAGACAAACCAAGAGTAGCACAACAAGCCATGTGTGAGCATTGTGTGTGAATCAGGCATCTCCTAGTTCCAACTCCAGTTTTCTGCACATCAGACCACACTGGTATCTTTCTAACATCTTTTGCTACTACAGCAGTGTGTCTGGGACTGACTACCAAAGTCATGCAAGTAATCATTCTCTTTAATCAGATGAATAATTGTTATCTAAAATTTGTATACAGTCATGTACAAATTTTTGGCTCTGGCCTCTTGGCAGAGCAGCATTGACACAGGCTGGGGAGAGTGCTGAGTGGCCAGGGGACTGGCGAAGGCAAGGTAGGAGCTGAGCAGGCGACCAGAGGGCCAGGAGCAGCAGAGAGGCAGGGGGCGGGGCCAGAGAGGCTAGAGCAGCCAGGAGGGAGCAGACAGGCGGGGCCACTGGCCTGAGGGACTAATAAGGCTGCACTCAGCCACTGCAAGCCCTTTTGGCTCTGACCTCTTGGCAGAGCAGCAGAGGCACAGGCTGGGAGAGAGCGCTGAGTGGCCAGGGCACTGGCGAAGGCAAGGTAGGAGCTGGGCAGAGGAGCAGAGGGCCAGGAGCAGCAGAGAGGAAGGGGGCGGGGCCAGAGCGGCTAGAGGGGCCAGGAGGGAGCAGAGGGGCAGGAACACTGGCCTGAGGCGCTGATAAGGTGTCATCCCTTGTCTGCGTCCCTTAGCTGTAGCCCAGGCTGTCCGGGGACTCCCTTCCCTGGGACGCAGAGGGTTTTTTTGTTTTTTGTTTTGCTTTGTTTTCCCTTCGTTTGTTTTTTTTGTTTGTTTTTTTGGTGCTGTGCTGTGCTTTGCTTTGTTTTTCCTCCAATTTAAATTTAAGTTTATTTTATCCTTGTGTGTGTGTGCGAGTGGGTTTTTCTCTGGGAGAACTGGGTGAGTGAGAGGAACTGCAGGACAGACAAGGCAGGGGACCAAGGTAAGGTCTTGGAAGGGATCCCAATGGCAGACCAGGAGATGGCCTTGGCGGGAGCCATGGGTGTTACTGTCCGCTGCGACATGTTCGCCCTTCTCCCCCAGGAGAGGCAGAGTTACACTTGCCCTTGGTGCAAGCTGGTGACTCTGCTAGAGGAGGAGGTGAGGTGCCTGAGGGCCAAGAGAGCTGTCCAGACCCCCCGGGAGCAGCCCCCCTCTGGACAGAGGGTTGAGGGAGAGGCCATGGGAGGAGCAGCCGCAGAGACATGGAGGCATGTCACCCACAGGAGGAGGAGGGCAGCACAGCCTCCTCCTTTTCCTGGCACCAATCTGGAGCTGGGAAACATGTTCTCTCCACTTGGGGAGGCTGGGGCTAATGAGGCCTCGGGAGACCAGCAGGACCCCCAGCCTGGGATGACAAGTGACAAGGGGGCCGCTGCACAAGAAGCGAGGGCCAGGGCATGGATGCCCACCACCACCAGGAAGACACGGCGGCAGGTGATTGTTGTTGGGGACTCCCTGCTGAGAGGCACTGAGGTGGCAGTGTGCTGCCCCAACCTGGAGACAAGGGAGGTTTGCTGCCTGCCGGGCACACGCATCCGGCATGTGAAGGACAGGGTGGAACGTCTTGTTCGCTCCGGGGGTCACCAGCCACTCCTGGTGATCCATGTGAACACAAACGATGTGGCCAGGCAGGGTGTGGTTGGGACCACCAGGGACTTTGAGGCCTTGGGGAAGAAACTCAGGGAGCTGAAGGTCCAAGTGGCCTTCTCGTCAATCTTACCTGTCCAGGGATTTGGGCCAGGAAGGGACAGGAGGGTCTCTGAGGTGAACGACTGGTTTAGGGTGTGGTGCCAGAAGGAACGCTTTGGGTTCCTCAACCATGGCACTCGGTTTCTTGTCAATGGACTTCTGGCAAGGGACGGGTTACACCTCACGAGGATGGGGAACAGGTCCTTTGGGATGCTCCAGCGAGCTTCATCCAGAAGACTTTAAACTGAGCCAGAGGTGGGGGGGGGTTCAGGCCCCCCAGGAACGTGTCTGCACTGGACAAGTGTGGGGAGAGGATCAGGGCTCTGGGAGCAGGGTTTTAGAGATACTGCAGGAACTGACAGGACTCCTACGGCAGGGGGGAAAGTATCAGGGAGGATGGGAGGAAGGAGGAGGATGGGAACTCCAAGGAAAGGAAGTGGTGGGAAGGAGTTGAGGTGCATGTACACCAATGCTAGGAGCATGGGTAATAAGCAGGAAGAGCTTGAAGCTCTCCTGGGAATAGGAGGGTATGATCTGGTGGGAATCACAGAAACTTGGTGGGATGAAAGGCAAGTCCGGAATGTGAACATAGAAGGGTATCACCTTTTTAGAAAGGACAGGAAGGAAAAGAGAGGTGGGGGCATGGCTTTATCTGTCAGGGAAGGGATAGGATGCAGTGAGATAGAATGCAGCACAGATGGGGATTCGGTAGAGGCAGTCTGGGTGAAACTTAGGGGTTTTGACAGGGAAAGAGACCTGACAGTGGGGGTATGTTATTGCCCTCCAGGTCAACTTGAGACCCTGGATGATGTCCTGACAGGCCAGATTCTAAGGATATCTTTCTTAGGGAGAAACACAGTAATTATGGGAGATTTCAATCTCCCGGATATTAGTTGGGAGACTCACTCGGCGGTGACAGCCAGGTCACGTCGCTTCCTAGAAGCTATAGAGGGAGGGTTTTTCACACAGAGGGTTCGAGAGGTGACCTGGGGGGGGGGGATCATCCTTGACTTGGTCTTGACCAATAGAGAGGAGCTGATAAAGTACAGATTAGGGGAGCTCTGGATGCGAGTGATCACTCCATCCTTTGCTTTGAGATCAGGGGACTGGGGATGTGCAGCAGGTCGAGCACTAGAAGCTGGAACTTCAAGAGGGCCAACTTTGGCCAACTGAAGGCCAGACTCGGGAAAGTCTCCTGGGATAGGTTACTGGAAGGTAAGCAAGTTGAGGAGGGGTGGATAGCACTGAAAAGGGAGGCTTTGGAGGTGCAAGCCTTGACGATACCTCTAGTCAGTAAGGTGGGGAGGCGGAGGAGAGTGCCGCCATGGATGCGAAAGGAGGTGGTTAGAGGGATTAGATGAAAGAGGAACCTCTGTAGGAAATGGGTACTGGGGCAAATAGACAAAAGGGTATACCGGAAGGAGGAGGCTCGTTGCTGATTACGAACTGAGACTTGCCAAGAATATCAAGAGCAACAAAAAGGGCTTCTTTCAGCATGTAAATAGGAAGAGGAAGGGGAGACAAGTGGTGGGACCACTAATTAAGGAGGAAGGAGATCCAGTGACTGATATGAGGGAACAGGCACAGATGCTAAATGACTAATTTGCCTCTGTGTTCTCCTCAAAGCAGGACGGGGGATATGCGCATAGGAGATTAGATGAGGCTGGGGACTTAGGGGCACAGATTAGAGTCACCCCCCTTGAAGTTGAGGGGCTCCTCAGGGCATTGGACATTACAAGGCGCCAGGCCCTGATGGGTTACACCCGAGAGTACTTAGAGAGTTGGCAGGGGTTCTCTCACACCTGCTGGCCTTCATCTTTGAGACCTCGTGGAGAACGGGTGAAGTTCCAGAGGACTGGAGGGTGGCATCAGTGGTCCCAATTTTCAAAAAGGGTAGTAGAAGGGACATGGGGAATTACAGACATGTTAGCCTTACATCCATTGTAGGAAAAACAATAGAAAGGCTCATAATAGAGAGAGATCTAGTGATGCTAGATAGGGAAGGGAGGCTGACAGCCACACAACATGGCTTCCGCAAAAACAGGTCCTGCCAGACAAACCTTGTGGAATTCTATGACAAGGTTTTGAGATGGCTAGATGGAGGGGATGCAGTGGATGTGGTATACCTGGATTTCAGCAAGGCCTTTGACAAAGTGCCCCATGATATCCTGGTGGAGAAACTGAGGAGTTTTGGGATACACCAAAGCACTGTCCGGTGGATTAGGGCATGGTTGACTGACCGAAAGCAGACGGTAACCATTAGTGGGGAATCATCGGGATGGCAGCCAGTGACAAGCGGGGTCCCCCAGGGCTCTGTCCTGGGGCTGATCTTGTTTAATCTTTTCATTAATGACATGGAAGAAGGGGTGAACAGTCTGCTGATTAAATTCACAGACGACACTAAAACTGGAGCAGTGAC